TGCTGAGGGCCAGGGTTTGGGGGTGGGATGGCAGGGGTAGGGGAGCGGTTGGGCTGGGGGAGCTTAAAGGGCTTTGCCAACCCAAACCATTCCCTGATTCTATAGTATTTCTCAAAGGTGCTCTGTTACTCCTGTTGCTGCAGATGCAGAAGTAACAATTTAAAGTATTTGTAATACTTCTGTGCACAATTGCTTATGCTTCGATTACTTATCCCGTACAGTGATGGGAACAGAGTTTGAAATCTTAAGTTAAACTAGGTGAATTATCAGAAACAGTTAAAATATACTTTAAAAGAAGATGTTGCCAGCCTACTTGCAATAAGTATAAAGAGCTTACGGTCTTCTGGGTTTTGGCCTAAGTGCATTAGACGTGTCCCACTGAAATAACATCTGGATTGCTTTCTTTTTCCTAGTGAGAGGCGTAGGGGAATGAAGGAATACTTTCAATCAATTACATCTGTGAATGCTTGCCTGCTGATGAAAGGGAGATTGGAATATGAACCAAGAGGGGACGAAGAACGAAGAAACGAGTAAGACAGCATCAGATATTTTGGTTAGACAGAGAGGGAGATGAGGGAATGAGATCAACCTTTGCGGGTTTGTTCTTCAAATTCTTAGTAAAGAAGAAGTAAAAATACTTCAGTATCTCTTTACTGAAATCTGTCTAAGATTAATAAATGTGAGCACCTTCATATCATAAATAAATTTACTGTTATACTTTCAAATTAACAAAGCATTTTTGACCATTTAGAAATTATTTAAATCCCTGACAGTTGAAGCCATACAAATTTAGAAGCCCAAAACAAATGAAGTGCTAAACCAGATGTGACAGCAGTAGCTTTTTATGCAAGTACAGATTTGCCCTGAATCTTTATTCAATATCTTCATCTCCCTGACAGGTTCATTCACATTTTTAAAAGCAAATGAACTGACAAGGGATGAAAGCTTTTCCTTAAACCACCCATGAGGATGCGTTCCTTCTAATTAGGAAACTGGCAGAAAGTTGCTAACTTCCTTCACTGTGTATCGAGGACGTTGAAGATCAGTGTATGCTCCACCTGGTATTCTGAATTTTTTTTATTACAAGTTATTCCTGAACATAAATAGGTGTAAGCACGATTTGACCCTTAGACAGCAACTGCAGTCGTCTTAGCAGTGATATCAAATGTTATTTCTGCTAGTAAAACACAACATGAATCATAGAATGGTTTGGGTGGGAAGGGACCCCCAGAGCCCACCCAGCCCAACCCCCCTGCAGGAGCAGGGACACCTTGAACCACATCAGGTTGCTCACAGCCCCGGCCAACCTGGCCTGGAATGTTCCCAGGGATGGGGCCTCCACCCCCTCTCGGGGCAACCCCTGCCAGGGTTTCACCACCCTCACTGGAAAGAATTTCTTCCTTAGATCCAGTCTAAGCCTCCCCTGCTTCAGGTTAAAGCCATCCCCCCTTGTCCTGTCCCAGCTGGCCCTACTAAAAAGCTTGTCCCCCCTTTCCTCTGGGCCCCCTTGAAGCCCTGACCGGCCGCACTCAGCTCTGCCCGCAGCCTTCTCTTCTCCAGGCTGAACACCCCCAACTCTCCCAGCCTGGCCTCAGAGCAGAGGGGCTCCAGCCCTCGGAGCATTTTAGTAGCCCTCCTCTGGCCCCGCTCCAACAGGTCCATGTCCTGAATAAGAGCCTGAACAAGCTCAACTTTAATAATTCATAAATTAACTTGTATTCTGTGTTCTGCTTGGCTGATGAGGCTGCATTTCAATGCAAACCAACATCGGGAAAGGGTTATCAGATCCTAAAGATCAGAATTTCCTTTGGGGTATATCTTAAAAGTGGAAATACAAAATAAAACAAAATTGACTTTAAAGCAAAAAAAAAATCTCTAGCTAATTAACTGATTTAGTGACTAAATTAGAGTAAGCAAAACCAGTGAGGAAGCACCTGAACTTGCAGGTATGGAACCCCAATGACAACGTTTAAGTTTAGTCTCTAACATAGCAGGAAGCCAATGTAACAGCAGTCAGGGAGGAACAGAAGCGTGACTTTAGGTGGCGGCTGTCGTTAGTGCGAGAATATAACGGCTGCTGTATTAGCTGAGATTAATTACATAGTCTACCTCCCTCCCTTCCATTTGAGGAGGAAAAGCTGCTTATTTAGGCCGTTACCTACAGCTGATGAGCTCCAAGAAGAGCGAAACCTTTTAAGATAGGTCCTGTAGTATTGGCCTAACAGTCTGGGTGTCTCGCTTAAGCTCATTTTTGGGCTTGAGCTACAGCTGTGATCAGGAGCCACAGAAATGCGTGGTCTGGAGTCGTCAGTGGCTGAACCTGTTAGAGCAGGTAAAAGGGAAAACAGTCATTAGGTTTTACTGTTTGTGTCGTTGGTTTTTATCCCGCCAGCTGTACATACGTAATGCATCCATGTGTTGGGGTGTGGGAGGGAGTTTTTAAAGGTAAGGAAAAGGGAGCACTGTGAAACAGGAGAATGGAACAGGGAAAGGGGAAGAAAACCAAACCAAGAGAAATGTTTGAGTTTATGGGGCTAATGAAGAAATGTTAGGTGGTGACTGTAGAAATCACCGCATTTATTGGTATGGAATTTATAAATTAGCTTTTATATTAACTCTGTCCTAGCGGTTACTCACGAAGCAATCGACCAGCGCTATTGTAGCTGTTGAAAGAGGGAGGAGCTGTGACCGGATAAAGGGAAATAGTGACTTCCCTGAAGGTTTGCATCCAACATACTCAGCTAGTTTTGTAAGGTACTATTTCTTATGGAATTTTTGTGCTTTAAAGTGAACATTGCTTTGCAACAAGTATACACAAATAGCTGTTAGCGTTTAATGATTTCTTTCTAATTTTATTTAGTAATAATTAAACTGTTTCTTTAGTGAATATTTTACTGCAGTGCAGGTAATTCCTTGCTGATTCTCAACATTACGAATTTAAGTAACAGGCATCTTGAACTAAAATCTCCCATGGCACTTGAGGTTAGTCTTCCCAATGCAGTAAAAAAATAATCTTATAGACATACAGATATATACACACCCTTAAGTATAAGTAAAAATAAATTATCATTATAATATTATAGCGTCTCAGTAATTTTCAACAGCCTCGGCCTCTCAACTGAATACTTGGAAAAGCGAGTTGAGCTCTGCGTTACGGCAGAGCTAGCTGAAATTGGAGCGGGTTGCGGCTTACTTTCAGTATCTCTGAAGTTAAATCAGCAAATGCAATCTGCACGGTGTTGGGCTGGCTGCAGTGGTAACTTCAACCCTTAAGCTTCCATTTCTGATTTCAGCTTGAGCACGCCTGGCTGTTCAGGCTTCCAGACTGCAGTCAGTATTAGTACCTGTACTGACTTCTCTGGCACAGAAAAGATAAAACTCTTTGCCAATACCGGGTTCATCTTACTGATTTCAGATTTTTTTCTTCAAACAAAGTTGCTGCCTCTTGGCGTGAAGCAGAACCACGTTCTGTGGAACCAGCACTATTCTTACTCGAAATTCAAGCACTGTTCTGTCACTGAAGGGAGGAAATTCTGGGTTTCCCTGGGTCAGACTTGAGCAGAGGGCTTGTGTGCTCTCCTGCAAGTTTTCTATACTTCCACCTTGGTGCTGAGTGTAAACTTAGCCTGTGCTGTCAGAGCAAGAACTGATGGGAAGACCAAAATCTGTGGAACAAACATTTACTTCCAGCTCTCCATGCTTATCAGAATCCTTGGAACTTTGGGAGACATCCAGCTGGAAGAGATTGGCTGTGGCATGGAAATTCAACTGCAGCTGGTTTCAACAGCCTTTAAGGGAAAATGCAGTAGGCTGAGCCTTATTCTTAAGTGAACCAAGAGCTGTGGTAATGCAAGCGTCCCCTCTGGATTGGTAAAGGTTACAGAAAGCTTCTTGAGGAAAAAACACCTATGGAAGCCATCCAGGACAGACAGCGTAGACTCACAGTCACATCAGCATGGCTGGAAGCAGAGTAAGTTATTTGATGATAGTGCTTTTGCTCGAATAGCAAAACAGGATGTTCATCATGAAACACCTCTGTGTGTGAAAGTCACAGCTTTATCAGATTTTAGATTTTCCCCCTCTGATAAAGATTGGTGGCAGCACAGATGGTTTGTGTCCAGGCATACTTCTTCAAGTACTGGGCGTTTCAGCCTTTGGTTGAGTTGTGTGTTATTAAAGCTAAAGAAATTAAATGCCAGGGTTGTTTTTCAGTTGTTTATATGTGCACCAATTCTGTATGTTTTGAAAATCTGCTGGGTCTCACCTAGCACTTGGAGCAATCTGTGAACCTCTTGACTGTTCTTTCCATTCAGTTGTGACTACAGTATTTACTTGGACTGTGACTTCTGTGGCTTTAGCGAGAGAGAAAACAGGTTGGTTTGAGATCACACGATACAGATTTCTAATTTGGAAAACACAATGTGGGGAAAGGGAAAGGAAAACAAAACCAGATCAACACGTTATCTTACTGCTAAGAGTGCCTCAGAGGTCAGAAACACATGCCTTTCTGCCCAAAAATGTAACCTTGCTCTTCGAGCAGAAGACAAATGCAGCTGAAGAGTCAGAGATCGATTCCTTGTAGTCTCACCATTTCCAGGTTAACTCTGTCACCGTCATAAACAACAGCGTGTAGTCACGGTGGGTGAACAGGGAGGTGGCTGCTGAAGGGAAGAACACAAAAATGCATACCAGCTCTTAAGAAGTTTGGAAGGACTCTGTTAGCAATTGAATTTCACCTCCGCTTTTACTGTCCAGTGTAGAGGTATGTAAAGTTGTGCAAATACAGGGGTGGGAGAAGGGGGAGGATAACCAGCCCTAGGTGCGTGTGTCCGCTTCTAGGCTCCGAGCTGCCCCTCAGGAACAGTATCCCAATGCTGTAGTCTCGTTCTGTGGAAGCTTCAGACCAATGCTCAGTCAATGGTCCAAAAAAAGCTCATAGAATATTAAGAGTCTTTTAAAACATAAAATAGAAGACAAAAATGTTGCTGCTGTATAAAGTGGTGGTGTGCCTACATATTGAATACTCTGTTCTGAGTCCCCTTCATCTCTGAAAGCAGATGGTGGAAGAAGAGGAGGGATGGTGGAAGATGATAAAGATAAATCATGGGTCATTTCTGTGCAAGAAACAGCTAGTCTCTGGATTCTTCTGCCCAGAAAACAGATGATGTCTGAGAGTTGTTCATGCCTTGTCTGATACAGAAATGGGTGGAGGCAGGAGGAAGCGTAAAATGGAACTAACAAGTCTAAAAGAAGCAGAGACATGATGAGGAACCATACTTTCAGTCTGACACAGTATGGTCACTCTTATGTTTCTAGTTAAAATAAACAAAACCCACACCCCTACAACTTTCCAAGAGTGCAGAATGGAACTTTACAGCTTTCTCGATCACGCAGAAGAACCATAAAGAAGACAGGACTCTACTACAATTTCAACCCTGACCTGAAAGCCAAATCCAGCCTTTTCAGAATACTTAATATCTCTGAACTTAATAGAAATATTTGTAGAGTTTTCTGTGAAATTCAGAGGGTTTTGATTTCCAGCTCTATACAGTGAGCAAGAAGCATTGTCTGGATCTCAAAGCACGTGGTTTTTAAGAAGCTGAAGTATCTGCTGACAAGTGAGACTTTTTTTGCTGCAAGGACCTTTGGGGAAACTTTGCTTGTCTGTGCCATTATTCTGAGGTTCAGCGGTGATTTAGAGTTGGGGAAGGAAGAAAGCAGACTCTTTAATTAAACACTACTAATCCCATGTCTTGGTATCTTAATGCATCAACTCTTTTGATGAGCTTTACCTTTGAAGCACTCAAAGGGTAGGTGGCAAGAAGCGTAAGGGAGGAAATAAGAAATCACTAGGCCTGGTCTATAGAAACCAGTTGTCCTGTTAGCATCAGAAAGTCTCAGACCGGATGGAGGGCGGGCATTTTGTGCTATGGCCAAAACCACAGAAAGCCATCTGGCATTTTTGGTATTTGTGTATGCAGTTTAAGACTCTGCTTAAAGCAGCACTGAAGCCAGGATTTAACAGTTCCCTTTCAGTCTTGGCCGTTCCCCTTCAAATGCATGCACTAAGACGCAGTGTTTACTGTTGTTTTTATAAAAGTCTGGTTAATACTTAGTTTTCTATTAAAACTCCTTCATCTCCAATTCCATCTTCTGAATCCATATTGACTCCTGCATGGGTTCTTCATCTGCAGTTCTAATGTTTGTAGTCATTTGCGCCTTTGGGTAGCGTGTAGCTACACGTACCGAAAGCTGCAGGAAATGAAATGCATTTTATTATTAAATTTCATTGATAGAGGAAAACTTAAATTCAGGTTACTTCCTCTTGGAAAAGCTGTTTTCTTCTGCTGTCTGTAGCGATTTTGATCCTTACCTCTCATCTCTCAGTTTGTCCAAGCCGAGTAACGTTCTGTGTGTTCTGCTCTGCTGCTCGTGGCCATTCCAGTCGTTCCTGTGCAGAGCCAGGATCCCCGTTCATCTTTATGTCTCACCGCCTTGTTCAGTCTGTTGTGGGTTTCCGTCCTAGGCCTTTCCTAGTTACATGCACATTAATTGCTTTGTCACTCCTCTTCGTTTGACCTTTCCTTGGCTGCTCAGCTTTCTTGATGCGCGGGTGTTGATTTGGACTCGCAGGAGCACAAAGCGCAGTCAGTGCAAGGAATGACAACATAAGCTGAGACCCCTCAATGTGGAAGACGGGCAGCTGGGGAGAAGATGTGTTGGAGATCATGAATATTGTGGAGAGGGTGGAAAGTGGTCGAATGTTCCGTATCTCTTGGTAGAAGAACTAGGAGGCTTGTGAATCTGCTAGGAGGAGGCAGGTGTAGAAAATCCAGGGAGGCAATTTGTTGAGCTGTGGAGTTCCGTGCTTGGGAATTCTTGCTGCAGAATCTTGTGAACATCAAAAGTTTATGGGCGGCAAGGGGACAGACGCACAGGCATGTAGGGGAAAAAGCTGTTGGTGGTTGCTGCGTACAGGGAATCGCTTTGGCTCGGGAAGCCTTGGCATTGAAAACTTTTGGAACTTGAAAGGAGGTTCTTGGGAAGCTTTACAGTATGCTTGCCCCATTCTTGTATTCTTCCCTGCACATCTGCTTTGGGTTCCTTTTGGAGATGTGATACTGCACTGGCAAGCTGCATTTGGCCCAGCAGCGTGCTGTAGTAGAACTTTGCAATAAAATAATTCAGGCTTTTAAGCATGCCTAAGCATGTTTCTTCCTCTAAATCCCTCTTTAACGCTCTGTCTGAGCTTTTTTTTTTTATGACTCAAATCCAACAAACGCGATCTGGGTTACTGTTACGGAAATCTCCAGGTCCAAAGCTGACGCTTTGCAAATGTATAAGAACTTTCTTCTGTTGACAACATATGCCTGGTTGCTGCAGGCGTGGGCCTGGGACTTCTCCAGCACAGAGTGGCCCTACAGTGTGTGCGATATAGTTACTGAAACAGTAGCGTGTGCTGGAGAGAGCACAAAACCCCAGGTCTGTGTTCTGATAGGCGTTGGTCTGTGCTTACGGCTTATCCCGAGCATCGCCCATCCGTCGGGGTTATGAAGGACGGTGAAGTAGGTACCAAGTGTTTAGAAGCAGCTCATCACCAAATGTGAAGAACAAAACTGGATAAAAAAAGAAACCCTTATGAGTACCTGTTCAAACACGTAGGGTGGCACTGGAGAATGCCCAGTGCCTTCATAGTCTCCTCTGTTGATACATAAATATATTTGAGCGGGGTTTTTCTCCACATCTGTCTGTTGTAAGGTGAGCATCCACCTTGAGAATTTTTGTTGGCCGTGTCCTTTCAGTCCACACATTTCTTGGCACTTGTCATGCGTTGTGCCACAAATGTTAAAAAAAACCCAAACAAACAAAAAAAATCCCCACCAAAAACCAGACCAAGCACCCCCACCCCTTCAACCCAACCAAACCAAAAAACCAGCAAACCAGACCAAGCACCCCCACCCCTTCAACCCAAAAAAACAGCGCAGAACAAACCCCAGTTCACCTTTCCTGTTTTCTGATGTTGAGCACTGTAATTTGCATCCTTAGCATAATTTGACTTACTCTGGGTTTAGTTCACTCCTGGTTTTAACTTGAGATAGGTTTAAAGTGTGAAGGCGAACCTAGACTTTCCATCTTTCTTCTCCCCAACTTCGTTAGCAAGGGATCCTTCTGTATGCGATTGCTCAGGGTTTAAAAATGGGTTTGTCAGTTATTCTGGTAGCTCTCGTGTGGCTAAGGTATTTCCACAACTTTGCCAAATACCTGCCAGTTTCTCGTCTCTCCTCACTCTGACGATTTGTCTTTAGAATGTGTAACTCCAGCCAGGAAGATCGTTGCCTAGATGCTTGCCCCTCACCGATAATAGCAGGAAAGAATCAGCAAGGAGAGTGTGCGAGCCTAAACAGTAAGTTTTGATTATTTTTGGTGAGCAGGTACAGGATTGTTGAGCTGCTCAGCTAAGGAAATTTTCAAATCTTTTACTCCCTTCAAGAAAGGCAGGAGACTTGGAGGAGGTCCTGAGGCAACGTTACTTCAGCCATCACCGTACCTGAAAAATCTGTACAAGATGGTTCTTGAGCCGTGGGTTAATCAGGTGTCCCTGCAGCGCTTCGTAGTCATGGAAGGGGCCTGTTTGCGTATTCAGATCTCATTTCAAGGACACTGCTGAGCAGATAACTCACTCATTTTCTTTGCAGAGAGCATGAAGGGTAATGCTAGCACCTTTACAATCTTAAAAGTATGTATCTTGGTCAATCTAACCTATTTAGCTGTGAATTATGTATGGTAGTGTCCTATAACTGTGGTCCATGCAGCTTGAATGACCTCTTAAAAACCTCAAATCCTGTTACCTGCAAGGCAATAAAGTGTCCTAGGTTTTTTTGATGTCATGGGAATATCCTGACTTCAAATGTACAAGTTAACCAGGCAGCAGCAAAGTTACCTGCAGCCCTTGATACACAGCATTAGTCTTGTTCCCTGCTTCATCCCTGCCTTTCGCCCTTTCCTCGGCCCCGTCCATGCTACTTGCAGAGCCTCTTGCGTGGCGGTGCTGCGTGGGAGCCCCTGGCGTCGCCATGTGCTGTCTTGTTGGTTGGTAGCACATCTGTGGAAGCATGGTGGGAAGCCCGTCCCGTGGGTTTAGCTGGAATCCTGGAATATCCTGACTTCAAATGTACAAGTTAACCAGGCAGCAGCAAAGTTACCTGCAGCCCTTGATACACAGCATTAGTCTTGTTCCCTGCTTCATCCCTGCCTTTCGCCCTTTCCTCGGCCCCGTCCATGCTACTTGCAGAGCCTCTCGCGTGGCGGTGCTGCGTGGGAGCCCCTGGCGTCGCCATGTGCTGTCTTGTTGGTTGGTAGCACGTCTGTGGAAGCATGGTGGGAAGCCCATCCCGTGGGTTTAGCTGGAATCCGTGGGCTCCGGTAGGTAATTGCTAGGAGAAATGACGGTTACGGTATCTCTAGTATCGCTCTGTCTTGCCGCTCTGATGTGAGGCAAGTTCCCTGGGGGACTGGTTCCAGCTTTGCAGAAAAATGAGATTGGCTTGGAAGCAGGGGATCTGGAGGGCGGAATGAGGGACACGTGCACCCAGAGCCCGAGGACAAGAAGCTCCAATATTATCATGATTATTTTTTTGGTGTTGCAGAAGATTCAAGCAGTATTGTCTTGATAAAATAGTCTCTACTAAAAGCAATTTAAAAGGTCAAATACCTAATCTACCCCTTGGTGTCCATCTGTTGTGGAATTTGAGAGGCTTGCACTTGAACTGAAGCTAATTACTGGTGCAGTAACTGGCATGCTACAAGATGACAGTAATAAAGAGAAGAGTAGTTAGTTCCAAAAGCTGTTAAGCTTAGGGCAGTGTATGAGGATAGCGGGAACTTGTGGGTGAACAAAACGAATCGTGCGGGCAAAGTTTCCCAGTGCCCAGCTCTGAAGCCCTGCTTCAGTCTACAGTGAGTACAGCTTGCGATAACGCATCGTGAAGAGCCTCGGTTGAGAAGATAAGACGCTCTGTTTGCATATATTTAACTTAATTGAATTTATTTTAGGAACCTGAAAAAAAAATAAACCTTTACAAATCTGCAAAAATGCCATTAAGGTTATTTCCTTTAAAAACAATAAATACAGAAGCGCATTGGTTTTCTGAAGTAGGAAAAATAAGGAAATCAAATGTATTTGCAGATTACTTTATACCATCATACACTTATTTTCCTTTCACGAACAGGTAAGGAAAAGCATTTTGATGGCTTTCAAGGCGAATACGTGTTGTGAGATCTTCACCAGAGAGTAATTAGCAGGCAATGGACAACTGCTGAGGGAAGCTGTGCATCAGGGAGCGTATATTCAGTGCCAAGGCACAAGTTTCTTTTCCATGGTTGACATTTAAGCCTGACAAAATCTGTGCTGCTATGTTGTGTCAGGGTGAGCTGACGAACTCCCGTAGAGTTAGAGTCTGAGATTCTGCTGTAACTGTAGAATAATTGTTTGGTAGTCTTGCTTTTTTTTTCTTTAGACATCTAAAAACCATGTTTAATGAGTTGGTGAATCTGGTAACAAAAGAATAATATAATGTAGTCATTTTAAGTGAATGTATACACTACTACTGAATTAAGTTGCTTTTTTTTTTCCACTGGTGTTGACTGAAATTTAGCATCTGTCTTTTAGCACGGCCTGGTGAAGTCAGCCGTAAGAGGTACCGAATTGTCCCCTTGCCTTGGGGCTTCCACTGTGCTGCCACTTCTTTAACCTGCTTTCCTGAGAAAGGGAGGCTGATGTGACCCAAGTATACTTTTTTTCTCCTTTCCACCTTAATTATATTTAGTATCTTCACTTCCCTGACAAATACAACTTGACCGCAGGTGTTAGGTTTCAAAGTTAAATGAATTCTTATGGGTTTTGTCTACAGACAAGACAACCCGCCGCCCCCAAACCCAAAATTCCCACGAAAACCCCAGGCAGGGCCCAGGAATGTTATTAACCTCGGTCAGCCGGGGAAAGGAAGCTAATACACTTTCTCCTCTGGACACCAAAGTCTCTAAGGTGCAAATCCCTGGGGCTCTGCGCTTCGCTGGCTCAGCTGCTCGTGGAGAGGGCTGGCTTTGTATTTAGCAATCAAAATCTCTTTGAGCAGAAAGGAATTCTTTACGTGATGTTGCTTTATACATGGATGCAGCTCTGAGTTTTGCAAACTTAAGGTTAGTAACCAAAATGTTTAGAATTAATGTTTCCTGCACTGTGCACCACCTGAAAAGGTTTTCACAAGTCCAAAGCGTATCTCTGTTATGGGTTAAGTTAGGAAGAGATGTCTGTCTGTCTACCGGTCTTTTCATTTACCAAACATAATCAAACTGTTTCAGGTGGGGGATAAAATAATGTTGTTCACTGTACGTTGCTCTTGTAACAGAAATTCCAGCACAAACAGTGTTTGCCGTTTTTGTCTTCAGAATGATTGAGGAGAGTGGGAAGAGGAGGAGGACAATGGCAGAGAAGAGACAGCTGTTCATGGAAATGAGTAAGTAAGAAATCTGAAGCCATAATGTCACTTGTTCTTCACCGAGAGCTTCGCTTTGGTGGTTTTACCAGATCATTTACATCTTGCTTCCACAAGACCATTGCCTCATCTAGTGAAAAGCACCCTGGGTGCTGGTCAGGAGGAGGATACGAGAGCTGGCTCACAACTGCCTGACAGGCCGTTCATTTCTAGGTTTTGTGAAGCTCCTTTTTAAGGAACGTTCACATTTCTCATGTATGGCAATACCTAAAGTTTGTGGACAACTGCTAAGTAATGACAGCAGACCAATCATCTTTTATTTTAAGGTACAAATTGCACCCCAGTGCTAGTGTGACTCGGAGAAGAAACTGTTTGAGGGGTTTGGGGGGTTGGTTTTTGTGCAGGACCATTCTCTGAAAGCAAGGCTGTAATTGTTGATAGAAATCAAATGCCTGTCCAGAGATAACGTAATTTAAAGGAAAGAGACATAGCCTTGTAAAAAGATAGGGACAGATAGAAGTAAAAGATTGTGCGTTTGCATGACATCATGTTATTTTACTTTCCCACGGGGGCACAGGACTGAATGAAATGCTGCCTAGGTTGGGCAGGCACATCCTAGCATTCCAGTTACAGACTGGTGAAGCTCTGTCTTAAAACAATGGTATATTCGTGCTGGTTTGTTGAAGGAATTCGAGTAACATTCTTACCCTGGTTATAAGCATCTTATCATTTCAGGAACAGTTTCATTCCTGGCTAGTTTCCATCTGCATCCTCTCGTGCAAGACCAGTCTTGGATAGTCTTTCTCCCCACCTTCCCAGCTCGCTTTGCCTTTGAGTTTGCAGTCTTGTCCCTTTTGGCTTGTTCAGCGTACGGCGCCAACTAACTCCTGTAGTCTCCCTGCTGTGCGCCTCATCTCCTGTTCATAGGATCACAGACTGTTTTGGGTGGGAAGGGACCCCCAGAGCCCACCCAGCCCAACCCCCCTGCAGGAGCAGGGACACCTTGAACCACATCAGGTTGCTCACGGCCCCGGCCAACCTGGCCTGGAATGTTCCCAGGGATGGGGCCTCCACCCCCTCTCGGGGCGACCCCTGCCAGGGTTTCACCACCCTCACTGGAAAGAATTTCTTCCTTAGATCCAGTCTAAACCTCCCCTGCTTCAGTTTAAAGCCATCCCCCCTTGTCCTGTCCCAGCTGGCCCTACTAAAAAGCTTGTCCCCCCCTTTCCTCTGGGCCCCCTTGAAGCCCTGACCGGCCGCACTCAGCTCTGCCCGCAGCCTTCTCTTCTCCAGGCTGTTCTTCTCTGCCTCTGTCCAGTTTTACTTAAGCAAAGGTGACTGAGCTGTGCATGATATCCTGGATGAAATCTCATTAGAAATCCTCCCCTAGAAACACCTTGACTGGTGCACCAGAGTATCAGATTTGTCTCATCACTTCCAAGTGTTGTGGTCATCTTGTGATCATTTCGTACAGAAATTGGCTTGCTACTTTTTAGCTGTGCCTAAATTGTTAAAAATACTCGGAATTCTTCTGATTATCTTTATACAAGGTGTCTCTTTCTGCAGCTGTGGTTCGTGCTGTTCATTACCCGTGAAGGAGCTGGTGTATAGACATTCCCAACTGCCTTTTGCTGTACGGCTCTTCAGCCTGGCAGTATGAGAAATCGAAGGTCTTCAAGCTTCACCCATCCTGGGGTGGAATATTTCACTATACAATGAATGCATGAATGTTTTCCTTTCCAGGCGAGCTTCTTACACAGAGTATGTGTGTGACCTGTAAAACGGGTGCTTTCAGTGCCCATTTGTTGTTGGTCAATGTTCAAATTTGCTGAAGCGTTTGGATAATTGCTAATGTGAGACAAGGGTAGAGCTTGGCGTTCACCCACAGTGGCCATGCTACCCAAGGTTGTGTTTGTTGGCTGTGTAGTGCTTATGGAGCCATCTGACAGGCAAGAATTCTGTGCAAGCTATTCTAATTTCTCTGAACTGCAGAATGCCTACAGAGTTTACCTTAGGGAAGGGCGTAAAGAAGGTGGAGCCAGACTTTTCTGAGCCCAGTAGCAGGATACGAGGCAATGGGCACAAACTGAAACACACCAAATCCTGTCTGCACGTGAGAAAAAACATTTTTACTGTGAGGGTGGTTGAGCACTGGGAGAGGTTGCCGAGCGAAGCTGTGGGGTCACCATTCTCGCAGGTATTCAAAACTCGACTGAGCAGATCCTTGGGCAAATTGCTGTAGCTGACCCTGGTGAGACCCCACCTGGGGCACTGGGTCCAGTTCTGGGCTCCCCAGTTCAAGAAGGATGAGGAACTCCTGGAGAGAGTCCAGAGGAGGGCAACAAGGCTGATGGGGGGACTGGAGCATCTCCCCTAGGAGGAAAGGCTGAGGGAGCTGGGCTTGTTCAGCCTGGAGAAGAGAAGGCTGAGAGGGGATCTCATCACCACCTACAAATATCTCAAGGGTGGGGGTCACGAGGACGGAGCCAGACTCGCGCCAGGCCAAGGGGCCATGGGCACAACCTGAAGCAGAAGAGGTTCCAGTTGAACGGGAGGAAGAACTGTCTGTGAGGGTGCCCGAGCCCTGGCCCAGGCTGCCCAGGGGGGCTGTGGAGTCTCCTTCTCTGGAGATCTTCAACCCCCGCCTGGCCGCTGTCCTGTGCCCCCTGCTCTGGGTGAGCCTGCTTGGGCAGGGGGGTGGCACTGGGTGAGCTCCCAAGGTCCCTTCCAACCCTTGACATTCTGGGATTCTGTGACCCTGCTTGAGCAGGGAGGTTGGACTAGGTGATCTCCAGCAGTCCCTTCCAGCCTCAACTATTCTGTGATTCTGAGCTGTATAGATTGTCTTGGAAACACATCCCATTTTATCTTCTGATAGTTCAGAAGAATGACCTTGTTGAAGCTTTTCTGGTAATGTGACCCAGGAAAACAAGAACAGAAAATGGACAACTTTTTGGGTTTGTTTTTGCATCTAGCTGTTAAATGACCTTTTATATACAAACACGTGTATTTTATATACATTTATATACATATATTTTTTTATAGACGAAGCATTCTGTGAAGACTCATGGTCTGTGGAAGTGCTTTCCGTGGTTTGAAAGATAGAACCATGCACCCTAATTGAGAGTTTTGAAAGAATGTTGTACAGAAAAGACAAAAAGAGCTGTTTTGTTGTAGCCTTGGGTCTGAATACTCCAGTGTCCTGGTTTTGGCTGGGATAGAGTTAATTTTTTACCTTAGCTGGCCAAGTACTTTCCTGAAATACATCAGGAAAGTTTTCTAAAGATGATACTGCAATATAATCCACTTAAGGTTGTTGCACCAAATGGTCAAGCAGAACGCTCCTCAGGTGTTGGCTGGTCTAGTGTCACTCCTGGGTAAGCTGGCATGGGGAGCCGTGGCTTGGGAAGTTGGTCAGCCTCCTCACTGGTCTTGTGAGAATCTCTCCACCTCACGTTCCACGTCCATGCCACTTCCAAGACGCAGTACGTGGGTCTCTGAGAGCACGCAGATGCTTTGGCACGTGTGCAGGTGCTTTGGCATTGCGTTTGCGAAATTGTAATGGAATGTCTAAAAGACAAGGATACGTTCTTAAATTTGCAACTGTGAGTCAGTGGGTGCACACACAAAGGTAATTCAAATGAGGTATTTGCAAGTTGGTTTCTGAATTCAGAATGTAGGAGGGAATAAGTTACCACCTTTGAGCAGGACCCCCCGGATACAGCAGTCGGGTGCCTTCTCCGGGAGGATGCGGATTTGGCTTTCTGTGTTTAAGTATCTTTTAGAAGCCTGGATTCTGTAAGTCGCGCCAGGCCAAGGGGCCATGGGCACAACCTGAAGCAGAAGAGGTTCCAGTTGAACGGGAGGAAGAACTGTCTGTGAGGGTGCCCGAGCCCTGGCCCAGGCTGCCCAGGGGGGCTGTGGAGTCTCCTTCTCTGGAGATCTTCAACCCCCGCCTGGCCGCTGTCCTGTGCCCCCTGCTCTGGGTGAGCCTGCTTGGGCAGGGGGGTGGCACTGGGTGAGCTCCCAAGGTCCCTTCCAACCCTTGACATTCTGGGATTCTGTGACCCTGCTTGAGCAGGGAGGTTGGACTAGGTGATCTCCAGCAGTCCCTTCCAGCCTCAACTATTCTGTGATTCTGAGCTGTATAGATTGTCTTGGAAACACATCCCATTTTATCTTCTGATAGTTCAGAAGAATGACCTTGTTGAAGCTTTTCTGGTAATGTGACCCAGGAAAACAAGAACAGAAAATGGACAACTTTTTGGGTTTGTTTTTGCATCTAGCTGTTAAACGACCTTTTATATACAAACACGTGTATTTTATATACATTTATATACATATATTTTTTTATAGACGAAGCATTCTGTGAAGACTCATGGTCTGTGGAAGTGCTTTCCGTGGTTTGAAAGATAGAACCATGCACCCTAATTGAGAGTTTTGAAAGAATGTTGTACAGAAAAGACAAAAAGAGCTGTTTTGTTGTAGCCTTGGGTCTGAATACTCCAGTGTCCTGGTTTTGGCTGGGATAGAGTTAATTTTTTACCTTAGCTGGCCAAGTACTTTCCTGAAATACATCAGGAAAGTTTTCTAAAGATGATACTGCAATATAATCCACTTAAGGTTGTTGCACCAAATGGTCAAGCAGAACGCTCCTCAGGTGTTGGCTGGTCTAGTGTCACTCCTGGGTAAGCTGGCATGGGGAGCCGTGGCTTGGGAAGTTGGTCAGCCTCCTCACTGGTCTTGTGAGAGTCTCTCCACCTCACGTTCCACGTCCATGCCACTTCCAAGACGCAGTACGTGGGTCTCTGAGAGCACGCAGATGCTTTGGCACGTGTGCAGGTGCTTTGGCATTGCGTTTGCGAAATTGTAATGGAATGTCTAAAAGACAAGGATACGTTCTTAAATTTGCAACTGTGAGTCAGTGGGTGCACACACAAAGGTAATTCAAATGAGGTATTTGCAAGTTGGTTTCTGAATTCAGAATGTAGGAGGGAATAAGTTACCACCTTTGAGCAGGACCCCCCGGATACAGCAGTCGGGTGCCTTCTCCGGGAGGATGCGGATTTGGCTTTCTGTGTTTAAGTATCTTTTAGAAGCCTGGATTCTGTAAGTCACAGTCATCCCCATTTCTCCCTTCTCTGTTCATCTAGGCTCTGGCTTTTGGGAGGAGTGTGTAAGGCCGCAGCAGATCAGTACCAGAGGCGCAGGAGCCATGCGCGTCCACGCCATTGCCCACCTGCAACTGGCTTGTTGCAGCCTGCACCTTAGGACTGGTTGGTTAGAGGACGTAGCCACCAACGCTGTTGAAATGCGAGCCATTTAAAAGGCATGTTGGTGTCTGGCTCATGCAGTTCTTGAGACTTGTTGTCTGCTTCCAGATGAGAAATGATCAATACTGGACTCTAACTCAGTATCATTTATCATCCTGACATCTTTTATCACCTCTGATCAGTACAGGAGGTGTGCAGCTCTGTTTGGCAGAGGGTTAACACAACTTTCTGAGATTGCTCGAGTTTGTAACGTTCAGAGTAACTGCTGGAACTGGTGGATGTGGTACAGGCTAGCGACAGATAATAGTGTTCACATCTTTCCTGATGTGGTGGTGTTTGAAGGTATAACACGCATCTTGAAGTGGGAGGTTGGTGGTGAAGATAAGATTTTTTATTTTTTTTTTTTTATTTGTTTTCCTTCTTCTGTGCTTTTTCTTCAGCTTCTTACCTGAAGTTGTGCCAGGGCAGGGTGAGGTTGGCCATGGGGAACAATTCCTTCCCCTTGGGGCTGTCAGGGGCTGGAAGGGGCTGCCCAGGGAAGGGGTCGAGTCCCCAGCCCTGGGGGGATTTAACAGCCGGGCAGAGGCGGTGCTGAGGGCCAGGGTTTGGGGGTGGGATGGCAGGGATAGGGGAACGGTTGGGCTGGGGGAGCTCAGAGGGCTTTGCCAACCCAAACCATTCTGGGATTCTATGATTTGGGCCTGTTTGGGAGACCAAAAGCGTGCTCCTGCCAGGGCTGCGATGCAGATGTGGTAGGAGAACCAACCCCTCCTTTTCTTTTCTCTTACATTTTGTGTACGTGCCAGCCAACCTCAGTGCAATCCTCGTCCTTACCTGCTCACCACTGAACGCTTGCTTCCTTTCAAGGCGCTCATACCAGTCTCAGACTTAGGCCAGTTTATAACACGCTGCTGGAAATCACTTTACCATGTGGTAATACCTAATGAAAATCTTTGTCATGTTCCTGTGACAAAGATGATGTGTGCGAAGAAACGGTCGTACCATTTTGGGAGTAACTCACGCAGACAAGCTGAATGTTGCAGAGCAAAGAAAAACACAAACTTCTTTTTATTCGTAGGAGCACAGAATTTTGATGTCATCAGACTTTCAACGTATCGAACAGCCTGCAAACTCCGGTTTGTACAAAAAAGATGTAATCGTAAGTTATAATTACTCTTTATCCTCAAAAATTTCTCATGCATGATTGTTTCAAATATTCTACCTGTATGAATTTTAAGTATAGTAAAAGCAAACATTTTATCAGACAGTGGCAGTTGTTATTAAACTAAACATTAAATATATCATTAAAGAGGCGGCGATCTTTGTCCAATGGGATATCTTCAGTTTTATTATTTTAACATTTCAAAAAAATATACAGGCCAGCTTTTCAGTTGCCCTAAGTGTTGGATGCGGGCGGCCTCGAGCTATTGGAGCTCCTGTTCCACCGTGGTGTTCCGCAGACCCCTGACGGCTAGGTACAGGCATGAGTTTGGCGATGCAGAATAGAGTCGCTAGCGCGAAAGCATCTGGATCTGATCATGGTGGCATATGTGAAATGTAGGAACCGTAAAGAGCTCTTTATGTTTGTCCCATACTAGTCAGTGTAAGTTTTCTCATTCTCTTCTGTGGTCCTTTGGCCTCGGATAGCTCACCAAAACAAAGGTTAAGCCAAGGGTGCATAGGTGACACCACTTCTCGTTCTGCTACCACTGTTGTACTGGACAAGGCAAAGAGCGGAACAGGCTAACGTAGGTGGGAACAGGTCCCTCCTCCCAGTGGAGTGGAATTAGAGTGGTGTCTGGTGTGGAAGAGGACGGGAGGACAGCTGAGGAGTCCTGCAGAGGACACGTGCGATGGCACGCTGCAAAGCACATAGCGCAGCTGACGCCGGGATGTGTGCCTGAGGGTGCCTCTGGTTTGGGTGGCTTACAGCTGCTTCAGTCCCGTGCAAAAGTGTTAGTTCTTGTCTGTAATTCACGCTTCTCAATTAAAAAAATCTCTCATAATCAATAAAGAGGTATTAAGAAATGCTAGTTACAGTGCATTGCATGCTGTGGGCCCAAGTCGCTGATGCCACGCATATGCCTTGCATAACCTTTACTGTACGTGTACGTATAGATGGGGCTGTGCATTTATGGTCTTTGCCTGGACCACAGGGTGACCCAGGGGCATACGCTTGGTGTGAACAGGTGGCTTGGCTTTTCTTGCTGTGTGGGTTTTATGTGAGAAATACAAAGGTGAGGTTTATGTAAGAAATGTAAAAGATGGCGCTCTTCCTTCAGACCCTTTTTTATAAGTTAAGAAAGATAACGGAAGTTGTGAAGTTGGCAAGTAAGTCTGTCCTTTGTTACTACTGGATCATGTCCAGTTTGGACTGACGGATTGCTACTGGTCCTTAGGTGTCTTCTCCCACTGTCATGCCTACCTTTCAAGCTTTGAAATATTTAAAAATAATATTTAATGTGGTTCTGAAGATCACTTACTGTGGGTTTGGAAAACTTCTTCTCTCCACTGTTAACACTTCTTAGATATGTGCTAAGATACGGCAGGGTAGTTTAGGGGAACACTTTGGAGCTCTAGACCCACTATGGCACTTGGACAAAGTATTATGGACTTGGCAACTGGATCAACTGGAAACAGTCGCAGTTTAACTGGAATGTCAAGTTCCTCCTTCAATACTCAACGACTAGTCAGCGTGAGGATGTCCAAAATTATTGTGACTGATTTGTAGTGGATTTAGAATACGGCCGATGTCTTTCTCAAATGAAGTTATCTAACTCTGCTAAAACACTCGGCATGACGATGGGAGATGGCTTTTCTCCTCTCTGTCGTTTTTCTGTCAGTGCACCCAGATGTCAAAGGGTGGAATAAAAGGCACGCGAGGTGTCTGGGCACTCTGTTACTTTAAACTAGCTGACATGAACTACGAGTATGAATATCAAGAGTCTGCCTCTTGCTTTGAACACAAATAAGTAACTGTTCATTCCAAATGAAAGCTAACGTAGTATTTGGAAACAGCACCATAAAAGTAAGCTTGCATGCATTGCAGAATAGAAGTTAATTCTTTTTCCTTTATTTTTAGTTCATCTTGTTGATATCTGGAATATGATTGAAGCCTTCCGCGATAATGGCCTTAACACTTTGGATCATAACACAGAGATCAACGTGTCTCGACTAGAAACAATCATTTCATCCATCTACTACCAGCTAAACAAACGCCTTCCTTCTACTCACCAGATCAGTGTAGAGCAATCCATCAGCCTCCTCCTCAACTTCATGATAGCAGCGTACGACAGGCTAGTAACTCCTCCAGTTGTATTCTTAAACTAATTTTCTCTTTTAGTTGGATGAATGCAGCCAACAACTGCATGAGTCCAGCAAACTGTCCGCGTGCTGTTTCTCGAGGTCATTAGATTGTCTGTCGCAGATACACACATGTATTTAATACCATGGTAGTGCCTGCAGAGATTTACATCGCCACAGCAGCGATGCTTTGTCTTAAAAATTGCTTTCTTAAGGAAGACGAGTTAGTGCCTTCTGGAATTGCAGACTGCTGTAAGCTGTGTGTCTGGACTGAAGATGAAGTGAAACTGTTCTGGAGACTGTGGTAGAACGTAATGTTAACGTCGTGGTGGTGCAGCACTGTTTTAAAAGTGAAAGCGGTTCACTGAGTCGTGATCAACAAGACCATTTTCTAATGCTACCTTGTTTTGACAGTCAGCTGTCCAGCATGCTGTGACCCCAGAAAGGCTAATTCTCGTTTCTGGGCTGGAAGAAGCTTGATTTCTTGTTCAGGGCACTGTTGAGGCTTTTCCTTGTGTCCAGCTTTATCAGTTTCTTTCTTCAGGGTTGGGTCTGCTAATCTTCTTGAGTAGATGTGTCCTTGTGGGCTCTCTGAGTAGCAACTGCAAATCTTCCACTGTTATTTAGCACTTTTTTCTTTTTGTCTTCTCTTTCTTGCAGTCAGCTATTGTTTCCGTCTTCTCTATCTTCTGCTTTTGCTCTCTCTCCTAGCGCTAGAGAACTGCTCGTGGCCAGGAAGCTGTCACAGAGACTGAGTGAGGAGTCTTGCCCAAGACAACCTGCAATAGTTGTTGTTTGTAATGTTCCTTTCCTTAGGTGACCTCTTCTTATTGTCACCAAACAGAAGCTAGGTTTTTCCCCAGAAGAGTCCAAGAATTCAGAACAACCCCTGTCTCGCTAAGGGGAGACAACACAAAGCTCAGAGCAGGAAGACTGCTATGGCAGCAGAATCAAATGTGTATTTTTCCTGTCTAATTCTGATTTGGTATTAGTTGCGAGATGAGTTGTAAGGGTTAGCTGATGGGTTGAGTTATTCTGAGGCAGATCATACTAAAAAAACACAGAATTTAAAACCAGAAATGGTCATATTTTGGGGGACTGGCTCAAAAGATTGAGGCTTTAGTTAGGTACACGTTTTCCTCCCCCAGAGCTCCCAACCCTGCAAGGTGTCTGCCTCCTGGAACCCAAGCAGCATGCTTAATCCCGGCACAGTACAACAGCTTCTCTTTAGCTTCCTCCGGCACGTGGGATTGAGAGAGGAGCTGGAATGCTGCTCTGGGTTGTGCAATGGGAGAACCAAGAGTAAGAGGAGAGGTAGGGCTGAGGCTCCCTCTCCAGGAGCTCATCAACATGGCAGACACTTATTTAAAAAAAAAAAAAGTACACATCTGCCCTGGAATTGCATCACTGGGGTAGCTGTGTGGCTGCCTGAATGGTCATTGTCCCGTAGCTTCTTACAAGGTGATGCTGGTGGTAACATCACAAAGTCATTAGCGTTCCACCCAACAGGTACAGCAGTCACAGATCTGACTAGGGTCCTCCCCATGGAAATATTTAAGTGAGAGTTACGTTGGGTAGATGTGGAAAATGCTCACAGTGAGCACTTTGCTGGGACCTGCAGAACGCCACTGGGCACGGTGCAGGAATGATGGCTCATACCCCATCGGTGGTGAGTTGTGAGGAGGAACGGCTTTGGCATGATGTTCTTTGCTGCAGTTTATTCCTGGTCTGTTTTTCCCAATAGCCTCTCATGGCTTTCCAAAGTCCCTGACCCGTTACTGGCACCCCAGAGTAACAGCTCATTCCCTGACCCCGTTTGACTGTTTCAGAGCAGTCAGCTTTTTACTTCATCATTTCTAGACATCAGATTTGATTTGACAGTAGGTTTAGTTGCTCCAATTTCTTTTTTCTTTTTAAATTGTAGGTATCAAACCACACTGTATGCTGGTAATAAAGCAGCGTGCAGTAAGGGGGGGGAGAGGATGACCAGCTAACAAACGAGGAGGTGAATTGGCAAGCAAAGTGTGGAGCGATGTGATCAGGAGGAACCTCGTAATCAGCAGAGCTGGAAGGGGCATGTGTGTATACGTAAGGAAATACCTACAGCTCAGCGTTACGCAGAAAGCTCCCGTGCCTTCTCTGGTGAATCAGCGTGACCGGGTGCCTCCGAAGTGGCTGTACAGTACTGTGTACAGCTTGGGGAGAAAACAGGAGGCACGAGGGGTCCGATTCCTCTGGAGAGGACACGGTGGGAGAGCTGGCACAACTGGGGTGCTGCAGTGGGCTCTTTAGGAGGGATTGACGGTGGAGAGGACACGGTGGGAGAGCTGGCATGACTGGGGGGCTGCAGTGGGCTCTTTGGGAGGGACTGACGGTGGAGAGGACATGGTGGGAGAGCTGGCACGACTAGGGCGCTGCAGTGGGCTCTTTAGGAGGGATTGACGGTGGAGAGGACACGGTGGGAGAGCTGGCATGACTGGGGGGCTGCAGTGGGCTCTTTGGGAGGGACTGACGGTGGAGAGGACATGGTGGGAGAGCTGGCACGACTAGGGCGCTGCAGTGGGCTCTTTAGGAGGGATTGACGGTGGAGAGGACACGGTGGGAGAGCTGGCATGACTGGGGGGCTGCAGTGGGCTCTTTGGGAGGGACTGACGGTGGAGAGGACATGGTGGGAGAGCTGGCACGACTAGGGCGCTGCAGTGGGCTCTTTAGGAGGGATTGACGGTGGAGAGGACACGGTGGGAGAGCTGGCATGACTGGGGGGCTGCAGTGGGCTCTTTGGGAGGGACTGACGGTGGAGAGGACATGGTGGGAGAGCTGGCACGACTAGGGCGCTGCAGTGGGCTCTTTAGGAGGGATTGACGGTGGAGAGGACACGGTGGGAGAGCTGGCATGACTGGGGGGCTGCAGTGGGCTCTTTGGGAGGGACTGACGGTGGAGAGGACATGGTGGGAGAGCTGGCACGACTAGGGCGCTGCAGTGGGCTCTTTAGGAGGGATTGACGGTGGAGAGGACACGGTGGGAGAGCTGGCATGACTGGGGGGCTGCAGTGGGTTCTTTAGGAGGGACCAACGGTGGGGTGTTGCCCTTTCATGGAGAGCGGCTGGAGAGCGTGGAGCTCTGCCTGGGGACCATGATGAGCCAGCTGGGGATTGAGCCAGGCTCAGCAGGCAGACTGGCAGGGACATCATGGCTGTGGGCATCTGCTGTGGACCACCTGGTCAGGAAGACGCAGAGGCTGAGGCTTTCTTCAGACGACTGGAAGAAGCCTCATGTACACAGGTCCAGTCTTTTTTAAACAAGTCCCCCAGTTCTGTTTCCAGTTCTGAGAACTCCTGGTTGTTATAGGAGTTTCAAAATCATATGGAAAGTTTCGCCCTTTTCCCTTTTGGTAGGGAATTCGGCAGATTGAATAGCATTGGTACCAAAATAGATTTTGGCAAGTTGCTGAACAACTACACCTCTACCAGATTGCAGGGGCAGAAGTTTGGGGTTTTTGGTCTCGATTGGTAAACAGAATGTCAACAGAAGCAGGCCTAATACCTGAAGGCACCATAAGAGATCTTTCCAAGGGTAAGACTGTGTCCTGTGAAGAGATACTGCTGCCTTTAGTCACTTGGTTTTTTCTGGAAATTAATTCAAAGCTGAACTCTCTTTTGAGAGAAAATGAATGTCTGTTAAAAAGAAAAAGGGGAGGGGGACTGAGACGGTAACTTAGGGCAATCTGAGTTAGCTGGTAGGGCTTGCTCTGGTAAAAGTGGTCAAGGCTTGAAGAGGATGAACTTTTCAGACAACGGATTTCAGAGGTAGTCAAGGCTGGGTTTCTTTTTTTTTTTTTTTTTTTTTTTTTTTTTTTTTACACACACAGATAGTGCCAACTTACTCCTTAAGAGCCATCTAAGAGAGAAGACAGAAACAAAGCAGGATAGCTGAGATCTTCACCTTCTGGTTAACTTCATAGCCTTTGTAGAGCAGCTTGAAATAAATATCTAGCATGTTTAGTTTCTGCCTTTGTTTAGCTCCTTTAAACAGCTTTAGAAGGGTGCTGGGTGTCAGCGGAGCGATGGCCTTAGAGTCACTATTCCTCTTCACTCATCCTCCTGCAGTTGTAGCTCTGGGGGAGATGCCCCTTCTGCAGAGGGAATATTTGAAGGACACTCTGAGTCTGTATTAGAGCATATTATATTTGAGATGCTTCTGAGAAAGGTTGAGAGCCTTTACCTCGCTGTGGAGCATGTGTTACCAGAAGGTGTTTGCAGATTAGCTCTGAATGTGGGAACGGGAGGAAAAAAAAAGTTATTTGGTCACTTCCTGATGTCCCCATCTGGTTCCTTGTCTGTCATCGACATCAGACCTTGTCACTGCCTCAATACCGTAAGCCAATATTTACTTCAAATAATTTTACTCTTGACTCTTCCCAAGCGCTAGTCTTCCAAGCGCAAATGTTAAACAAGCATCTTGTTTCTGCTGAGAAGCGTTCTAGAGGTTTTCTAATCCCTAATGCTTATCGTGTATTTTCCCCATCGCCGTATTTCCCATGACAGTACAAATGATCTGCCCAACACACTTAATTACAGTTACTTGAACGTATTTTAATTCTTTTTCTGCTTTTATATGTGACTTTAACTTCCCCGGTGGTTTATCAGCCCGTGCCGCTGTTAGGGTGAAGGATAATGACCCCGTGCGTTTCCGTCTGCCAAGAAGCTGCTCAGAGTTCCACCGGCTCTTGCCCACGATTGCACACACATCTTCTGCCCTGTGCACCTCCAGACTAACGTTCTGCCAGCCTCGCAGCAAGAGTGGAGTTGCGCTGAGCTTGCCACGCTGTGGCTGTCTGATACCGTGTGTTGGAGGTTCTCCGACTCCTGCCGTTGTGGCTGTGGCGGGCGATAGAGACCTTCGGGAGCCAGGGAGGTGGGATGCGTGCCCTCTGGGCCAGCACCGAGCTGGGAGAAGCTGTTACTGAGGCCAGCCGGGCTGCGCGTAACCCAGCGAGCCGGTGGCTTGCTTCCCTCCTCGTTTCACCCTTGCCTCTCCTCCTGGTAACAGCAATAACGCCCTTGGCTGCTTCTGCGCGCCCGCCCCCGCTGAACGGGCCTTTCCATACTTCCATGGAGACAAATGGATTTTTCTCGTGCTGATATGGGAAAGCGATTCCCCAAATGTGCCACCTGTTCTAATAGCACAGCAGCTTTATTAAACCAGAATAAAACCTTGCGCACACTATTCCTGTTCTGCGCGGTATATTCAGGATGCCGTACAGCTTCTCCGTGAGCTGCCAGTTACTGCATTTAGAACGAAATGTGTGCTTGAACATCAGAGTTTAAATCAAGGAGTAAAAATTTATCGCAACTAGCAAAGGGTAGCAGAAGAAAAAATAGATGTTTTACAGTGAACAGAGGTATTTTAATGAAAAGAATAATGCATTACTTTTTTATAGTATGCTTCTGGGATGAACAAGACAAATGACAGTCTCTTTATCTGTGCCTTTGTCCTAATTCTGCAAGAAAATGTGATTTGCAATTAGACATTTGTTAACTCTTCCAATGTATTAAAAATGCTAGTGTTGTTGCTGGTTTCCTGCTATATTAAATAGTTTTGGTGGATCTTAGTGGTTAATGGAGGGCATTTCTGCATTTCCTTCCTAGGCCTCGGGTATTTTTGTTGCTTACCGTTCTACGTAATAGTTACTTACCGTGTCGTTGTTTCCCCGCAGCGAGGGCCACGGGAAGTTGACGGTGTTTTCAGTGAAAGCCATGTTAGCGACAATGTGTGGCGGTAAAATCCTGGACAAACTAAGATGTAAGTATTTTCAAGCACATCAGACCTTTTTCTGAAATACTCTGTTTCCGCTCCGGGCCGCATACGTTCTGTTGTATTAAGTTCTGAAAGCCAACTTTTTTGCTGATTCAGCACCTTTACATGGAAATGGAGCTGCTGTGGTAGTGCTCTCGGCGCACATGCCATCTGCTGGCCGTTTGGCGTGCCGAGTTCATTACTGAGCAGGCTTTGCGAGTACATTTGGTTTGTTTACAGCGCTTTCTTGAAACGTAAAACTTCAGGTCTGATTTTTTCTGGTCAAATTTGTTGCCACTTCCCCTGTTTTGAGGACCTCGGGGGGCTCCTGTCTATCGTCTGCGGCACACTCTTCACCTTCTCACTCTGTAATTCCAGCTTCTCACTTCTTATTTTTTTAACTTTTTATTAATTCTCTTTTCATCAATCTTACGTCCTTCATTTCCTGTTTCCCTGAGCTGTATCAGCAGAGCATCAGTGATATCCATAAACTTTGGGTTTGTCCTTTCCTAGTAATTCTTGTTCTTCTGTCCGTCCTCATGGCAAGGGGGACTGGTTTAGGGTGGGTTTCCTTTTCGTTGCCACCCTGAAGAGCCGGGAAGTCAATCGTACTGTCAGTGCCAGATTTTACTGTTTGGGTCTTCTCGTTTTCACCTCACCCTAAATTCCCTTTATGGAAGTTACCTTGTAATAATTCATTCCTCCTGATCTCCATCATTGTCATTCACTGTAAAGAACTCTTTAGACTTTTCTACCTCGTTAAGCTTCTTTATTATATTTGCTTTAAAACTAGCAATGTAATACTAGTGCGCGGAATGAAACGGCATGATGAGGTCTGATAAGCAGATAGTGAGAAATCAGTGCATGCACATATTAATCTTAAGGCTGCGCGCGTCTCAGTACCAGGAAATGCTGGGGTTTTATCTGGTGATAACTATAAAGTGCTCCGGTTAAAAACGAAGCAGCAGGTGATGAAGATTAGTGTTAAATAAAGGGGACGGGCATGTATGTCAAGTTATTTAAGGCTTCTTAAGCATTTTTAACAAATGCATTACTTCTATAAAATATGCAAGATCATGCACTGGGGGAAAAAGAGGCTATATCTCCTCAGTAAAAGATTACATTTTGGATTTAATTAGGGTAAGATTTGAGGAGGTTGCAGTAGAGGAGCAGCTCAGCGCAGCCCTGGGACAGAACAGGAGCAGTATTTCTAGAATTAGCAAGACAACATGGAAACACGTGAAGAAAATGACAGTGTGACCTTTTAGTGGAAAAGGCAATTAACTGCTGGAGTGAAATGTTACAGGAATCGGTAAACTTGCGATGTTTTCAGACAAAGGCCTGGATATCGCTCTGGAACTTCATTAAGTCTCAAGTTATTGATTCAGAAGGTGGCTAGCTGAGATGCTTTCACGGTAAGCAGGGGAGGTGGAACCCCAGGCAGCAGTCCAGGCTGGGGGCTGACCTGCTGGGAAGCAGCTCTGCCCAGAGGGACCTGGGGGTCCTGGTGGGGGACAAGGTGGCTATGAGCCAGCAGGGTGCCCTTGGTGCCAAGAAGGCCAAGGGCATCCTGGGGTGCATCAAGAGGAGCGTGACCAGCAGGTGGTCTGACCCTACCTGATGCGGGGTGCTCCTGCACCCCAAACACACTGCCCTGACCACCCCACGCATGATGGGACCGAGGAGCTCTGGCAGGCAAGGGGGTGCTCCCTCAGCCCTGCCCTCGCCCTCCCTCCGCACGTCCCATCCCCACAAGATGCCCCTGGGACTTTGCCCCGGCCACGCTGGAGCTGCTCCAGCCTCCTCGGGCCGGCATGGCCAGAGCAGCACGGCAGCTACGCTAAGGGTGCTGGAGCATTGTAGGGAGGGCGGGCACGCATCCAACTGCCTTTTGTACGGGAAAAATATCCTAACCCCAAAGCTCTAGCCCTGGCAGAGCAACAAGGCTGATGGGGGGACTGGAGCATCTCCCCTAGGAGGAAAGGCTGAGGGAGCTGGGCTTGTTCAGCCTGGAGAAGAGAAGGCTGAGAGGGGATCTCATCACCACCTCCAAATATCTCAAGGGTGGGGGTCACGGGGACGGAGCCAGACTCTTCCCAGTGGTGCCCAGCACCAGGCCAAGGGGCCATGGGCACAACCTGAAGCAGAAGAGGTTCCAGTTGAACGTGAGGAAGAACTTGTTGACTGTGAGGGTGCCCGAGCCCTGGCTCAGGCTGCCCAGGGGGGCTGTGGAGTCTCCTTCTCTGGAGATCTTCAACCCCCGCCTGGCTGCTGTCCTGTGCCCCCTGCTCTGGGTGAGCCTGCTTGAGCAGGGGGGTGGCACTGGGTGAGCTCCCGGGGGCCCTGCCAGCCCCGGCCATGCTGGGATTCTGTAAGGACACCTCGTTTAATAGTCCTATTGAACAGGCGTGTCTAGTCTTAAAATTTAAAATTTGTGCATTTAATGTACTGCCCGTTCTCTTTCTCTGCCTTTTCCTAACATCTGCTTTCCTTCACAGCATCTGAAGCTTCCTTTTTCTTTTTCCTGTTCTATTGGCACCTGTTTCCTTTACCGCTGTAACTTTCTTCTTTATAAAAATTCTTAGCCAATGCTCCTATGCGTTTGAGGAAAGGCTTTTGACTACTTTCCCGGACGGGTGCTGCTGTTTATAGCTGTGTTCTGTTCTGGCTGCTGTGCCTTTTACTTAGCCTTTCTCATATCTTATCAGCTGACCTTGAGTTTGCTTTGTAATCCTGGGATCTTTCTTCCAGGATCTGCTCTCCTTTTTTTTTATTCTGGGGACACTTCTGCTTGGATGTGGATCATCATTTTCAAAGGGGGTGTGACTATGTCTGACGTGATTTGGACAGTAGCACTTCTGTCTCGTTTAATTTGATGTTAAAGCTCTGTTCCTCTCGTTGCCTTTTCAGTACGTCGCTCGCACTGACCTCCCAGCAGCTGATCATAGAATCACTTTGGTTGGAAAAGACCTTTGAGATCATTGAGTCCAACCTTTAACCTAACCCTGCCATCCCACCACTAAACCCTGGCCCTAAGCACCTCATCTCTCCTTCTTTTAAATCCCTCCAGGGATGGGGACTCCACCACCTCCCCAGACAGCCCATTCCAGAGCCTGACGACCCTTTCGGTGAAGAAGTTTTTCCTAATGTCTAGCCTAAACCTGCCCTGGTGCAGCTTCAAACCATTCCCCCTCGTCCCATCATCTGTTCCCAGGGAGAAGAGGCCGACCCCTACCTCCCTACAGCCTCCTCTCAGGCAGCTGTAGAGTTGTAGGTGTTTCTGGGCTAGTTCTTGTGACAGTACGGGCTGTTGGCCGCACTTATCTAAAACCTTGGCGAGGGTTTTGTTGTTGTATGAGTCAACCGAGAAAGAAAAATTCCTTGATCTGTAACAGCACTGCTGACTGGGCACTGCTCTGTAAGGTCCTGGCTCTTCCTTCACGTGCCCCATGAGCTGTGGACGCTCCCGTCCCTTCCGGATGCTCCTCTGTCCCCTCGCGCGCTCCTTGTTGTCTCTGCGTCGTTGGAGGGAAACTTAAAGACTGGAACCCGCTCGCTGCTGTTCCCTAAAACGCCCACAGTGCCACACGCAAGGTTAGACACAGAGGCAGAGTCTCAGCACGTGATTAACAAAATTGTCCAGGAAAAGGGGATTTTGGCTACTTTGAGATTTTTATGAGCACAGGAAATTGTGCAGGAGGGGAAAAGCTTTCTCTAAACCAGGATAGAGTCAGGCTGTTGGCTTTTCAGACAAGGTCATAGCACAGCTTTCTGTGGGATGTGGAGAAAATCTGAGGTTCAGGATAGCAGGGTCTTGTAAACCTTCCGAAGGCAGTGTGTCGTTAGCAGAGTAAGCTTCTGAGTATCACCAGAGCTCAAGAAAAGCAATAAAATAGCTGAACTATTGACTGTTGGTTACCCATCTTTTTGAAAGCTTCCTAAGGGGCAAGGGAGCGGGAGGAAGAAAATGTCACGTGAAGTTTGGGAGGGGAGATGTGGGGAGCTGTGGGCCTGCATACCTGGCACGTCGTCTGGGCAAGCTGTTAGTAATAAAGAATAGAATTAGTTGACACATGGATAAATGAGATTTTATTGTTGGGGCAAATGGCTTTTGTGAAGGGGTGCCTTATAAAACATAGGAGTTTAGTAAAGGAGGCAAAAAAAAAATAATGGTCAGAGGAGTTCTGGCTGATACAGACTTCTTGGATTTCTGAAAGGCATTCAGGAAGGTCCCTTATCAAATGCTTGAAGACATTTAAAAGTTGGATGAAAGGTGGGGTCTTTGCATGAGTAGAAGATTGGCTAAAAGGAACCAAAAATGAAGGCCAGTGGCATCCTGGCTTGTCTCAGGAGTGGTGTGGCCAGCAGGAGCAGGGCAGGGAGCGTGCCCCTGTGCTGGGCACTGGGGGGGCCGCCCCTCGAGTGCTGGGGTCAGGGTTGGGCCCCTCCCTCCCCGAAGGA